TGTTTACGCCAAATTCTGACTCTACCATCTGAATGTCTCAACAGAAATCGAGACTCATCAGACCAGGCAACACAAGGTTGTGCATGTTGTGGCTTCACAAATGCTTTGCTGCATACCTCGGTTGTAACGAGTGGTTATTTCAGTCAAAGTTGCTCTTCTATCAGCTTGAATCAGTCGGCCCATTCTCCTCTGACCTCTAGCATCAACAAGGTATTTTCGCCCACAGGACTGCCGCATACTGGATGTTTTTCCCTTTTCACACCATTCTTTGTAAACCCTATAAATGGTTGTGCGTGAAAATCCCAGTAACTGAGCAGATTGTGAAATACTCAGACCATTTGTCTGGCACCAACAACCATGCCACGCTCAAAATTGCTTAAATCACCTTTCTTTCCCATTCTGACATTCAGTTTGGAGTTCAGGAGATTGTCTTGACCAGGACCACACCCCTAAATGCATTGAAGCAACTGCCACGTGATTGGTTGATTAGATAATTGCATTAATGAGAAATTGAACAGGTGTTCCTAATAATGCTTTAGGTGAGTGTATATATATATATATATATATATAGGCCTATATATATATATATATATATATATATATATATATATATATATTAGTGTTGTCAAAATATTCGGTACTTCGGTACCAAGTCGGTACTAAAAAAATGTAAACGTCACGGTACCAAGTCCCGGTGGTACCGAGTACCCAGTCAAACCCGGTTCTGGATGCGCATGCATGCACGAAGGGCATGAAGTTGCGTCCGCATCATGAAAGCGCTGAGACATGGCGACCGGCGGCGCTGCTGATGTGGTGTCTGTGTATATTAAACTGCAAAACGACTATTTAAATATGATAATGAAATAGGTTTCATTAAACGTTACCTCACACACACACACACACACACACACACACACTGAAGCACGACATGACGCTCGCGCTGTTTTCAGTCTCTGCTGCCTCACGATATGATGACATGATTCATGATTCGATTCATCTCCGAGAGTCACTTCATGAGCATTTTACCGTTTCATTTGAGAAAAACTATCGTCATATCATACACGCACAGAAACTCAAAGGTCTTCACGGCAACCCGTCAAAATAAAAGTTTGGTTTAACTTAAAGAAATTGACAGAAATAATTATATTAGGCTACTGTACAATAGTTTTAACTACGTCTCCATTAATTAAAGATACTACTACTAATAATAATAATGTGTGCATAGAAGGTTGCTTATTTTTCACTTGACTTTTTTTATAAGCAATATTTCTCAATATCATCAATATTTTCGTTTAAACAGCATGTAGCCTTCAATCCTTCATAAATTTACCATCAGAAATAATAAAGTCATTGAATTGAATTTAATTTAATATATATATATACATATATATATATTTTTTTTTTTTTTTTCCAAATAGTTAAATAAATGAAAAAAAAAAAAAAAGTTCATACTGATTTTGCTGTGGTACCGAAATTGGTACCGAGAACCGTAACATTGTAATGGTATCGGTACCGACTACTGGAATTTTGGTACCGTGACATCCCTACATATATATATATATATATAAGCACACGCACACTAAGGCCGAATCACAGCCGTGCTGATATAGATCAATATTGCATGGCTACTCGTGTGATATTGCTCATTTATAGAACATAAACGTTTAATTACATTTGCTTAAAATGTTTCATTCTAAATTACATTTTGTTTTTAATTAATATATTTATTATATTAGAATATAATATTTTATATAATTTTGTTTACTATTTATAAAATAATTAATATTATATTATTTTTTTTAATTACTGTGCTTTCCCATGACCATACAAATAATTGAATTATTTAAGCACAAGGGCTTATGGGTATTTTTGTATTTTTCTCAGCATTGATTTTGGACTTAATTATATGGATTTTTGAACCCGAGGGTAGAGCACTGTATTTATTTGTCTTATGATTCTAAAATGTGACATTTGAAGTGTGTTTAATATTTAATTAATAGTACATTGGGACCTACAGTTTTGTTTGATATGCAGTTACTAAGTGACAAAACATTCTTATTTCCTGCTTTCCCAAATATTTGTTCTTTTTTTTGGTACCTTAAATGATTTCAATAACATTCACATCATCTATACAGACATGAATACACATTTCACATTGCAATGTAGCCCACGTAAACGTGGGGAAATGTCTGGATGTTTTCCGTTACGCTCTGTAAGATAATTGACTGGTTATTGATGATTCAGTCTATGTATTGTAGGTCAGTGGACTATCTATTAAAGGTAGAACACCCTCCATTTGAAGAGATACTGCCCTTTTACTTAATGGACAATTCTAACCAAGGCAACCATTAGCACTTGAAACCCTAAAATAAAATCTATACCTATTGTATGCATCTCAATACGTCCTTTCTTCTTCTTCTTTTCTGTTTGCGGGGTTCTGTCCTCATTTGAATGCTTATCAGGTTAAGATTCACATTAGCTGGGTTGTTTGAAGCTGGCAGCTAATTTATTAAAGAACATCCTCCATTCTGCAGACAGGCACTGCTTTTGAGTAAACCATTGACACTCCTTCCTCTTTATTAAAATGTTCCGCTGCTTTTCCCTTGTACGTCTTAATCTGAAATATATCACAGAAAATATCGGCGAGCTCATCAAAATGCATAAAGGAATGGCACACTTAGGTTTCTTAATTGTTTTAAAAGCCTCACAGTCATTACATGTCTGACATAACAGCGCAAGTCTAGAGCACCTCCAAATCATAAAAAAAGGAAAGGTAATAACCTTTAAGTGCTTTCTGAGTAAAAACGTAATAGCAAAAGAATTCGTGCCTCTGCTTATGATATTAAATGCATAACCTCTGAATAATTTTCATTCAAACGCGGACAAGTGCAAATGAGGTTCAGTTCTGTCTTGTCCGTGAGCAAAAGATTGCACCTATGGCGGCATCGCATTTCCAGCTGTGACTTGCCGTTCTGTATTGTTGCGATCTGTCAGAAGTTAATGACGGATGTGTCGCCTGTAACGGTAAATTCATAACTTCTTAATGCGTCTGGACGCATCTTGCATATACATTACATGCTGCTGCCCCAATGACTTGCCAAGCTGTCAAGGGAAAGATTCGCTGAAGTCAACGACTCAAATTGAGAATGAGAGCCATAAAGGGACCGTGTCTGCTGGAGATGGAGGGGGGCGATATATTGTGTGAGTGCATGATCCGCTCCAGGGCCAGATGTTCCACTTGACAGGCCCCTTGAGTGGAGGGCAGTTCTGCCAGCTGTCTTCCTTCCTAGCGTACATGCAGCCATTTGTTGGTGGAGTGTTGAAAGAGGAGGGAAAATCAACAGAACTGCTTTGCACCACAATTCCCACCATTGCAACTGTTGTCCAAAACAAATAGTCCCGTGAAATTGTAGTTTAACCAACAGTGCTTTTGTTTACCGTGACACCGTTTCAGCATGCACCGGTCAAATCAGAAAGAATTATTGCCCTACCTCTATTCCAGGTGAAGCCTTTTGCGTTTACCTTTTCCCAAGTATAATGCATGATAATAACAGAATTCATTCATCAAAGGCTCCGGCTGTTATTCCCTGGAAAGAGTTATATTTAACTTGGATAGGTCACAGCATTTTCCTGCAGGCTCTGCTGAGAATATGAGCCTGAAGAATTATGACTTTTCTGACCCAGGTGTGGGCATTATTCATGCTTAAGGTCTGATCGCTAGTGCTACGAGAACACGAGTAAGAGCTGCCGCTGACTGTTTAAAAATGTCAGGACTTTTCTCAAAAGTCTTTGGCCTAGTTGTGGAAACTTGAAGAGGACATTTTAGTGGCATGTCATTGGTTTCTAGTACTAGTAGCGTTTTTGGATGTGACAACGTGTCGTTTTCTTCTGGTTTATATTTTGCTGTTATTCGTCTACTGCGTTTAAAATGACATGTGAGTGAATTGTGAATTTCACTAAATAGAGATAGAATAACTAAATAGAAAGTTGATATTTGATATCGATTTTTTTGTTGCAATGTAAAAGTCTTTACTGTCCCATCACTGTAATACATTCTCACTGAATAAAATTATTATTTTCTTTCAAATTAATAGTATTAATATTTTACTGACCCCAAACTGTATATATAGGCCTCTTCAATTTATAGTTCACTTTGGCTGAAAATTCATGATAGAAACATTTTCTATAGGCTATATTAGGTATTATATTAGGGCGCCAGAACGCCCACCACACACCAGCTTACTGGCGATACCTATATTAGGTATCGCCAGCAGCAATATCACCCTGTAGCCCAAGACTGGTTGCCCACTGAAGCTAAGCGGGGCTGAGCCTGGTTAGTACCTGGATGGGAGACCTTCTGAGAAAACCAGGTTGCTGCTGGAAGAGGTGTTAGTGAGGCCAGCAGGGGGCGCTCTCCCTGTGGTCTGTGTGGGTCCTAACGCCCCAGTATAGTGACGGGGACACTGTACTGTCAAAGAGCACCGTCCTTCGGATGAGGCGTTAAACCGAGGCCCTGACTCTCTGTGGTCATTAAAAATCCCAGGATGTCTTTCGAAAGAGTAGGGGTGTAACCCCGGCATCCTGGCCAAATTTGCCCAGTGGCCTCTGTCCATCATGGCTCCTAATCATCCTCATATACACTAATTGGCTTTATCACTCTGTCTCCTCTCCACCAGTAAGCTGGTGTGTGGTGGGCGTTCTGGCGCAATATGGCTGCCGTCGCATCATCCAAGTGGATGCTGCACATTGGTGGTGGTTGAGGAGATTCCCCCTTCCATGTGAAGCGCTTTGAGTGCCTAGAAAAGCGCTATATAAATGTAATGAATTATTATTATTATTAATTATTAGGCTTTTTAATTGTCACACTTCATTTTAACATTTTTATGAAAAGGTTTTTCTGCACACAGTTCCATAAAAACCGTCTCGCAGTTTAAATACGTTCAGAGTCAAGTCTCAGTATTACATAAGCTAATCTTTGCATCTCTTCTTGTTTTTTACAGCTGGAACAACGTATATCTTTGGGAAAGGAGGAGGTGTCATAACCTTTAACTGGCCAGCCAATGAGCGCCCGAGCACCCGTACGGACAGGCTGACTGTGGGCTTTAGCACCTCTCTCAAGGATGGCATCCTGATCCGCATCGACAGTGCCCCTGGCCTGGGAGACTACCTCATGCTCCACATTGTAAGTCAGAGCTTTTTCTAATGTCGACTTTAACACCAGTCTAACCCTAACCTGATCGCCCACTTCTAGAAATGTCAATACTAAAGGTCAACAACAAACATTTTTATATATGAATATCTCTACAACCCTTTAACATGTTTGGAAGTAGCCAGAGCACCCAGTAGACAGGTAGAGATCTGAAACCCTGTTCACACCGGATGCGACTAGTAAGCTGTCGCAGAGTCTGTCTACTCTGGAAGGGCTGAAGCTTTACATCGCCTCTGAATGTTGACTTAAGGCGTGTTTAACACTAGATGCGTAAGCAGCTTGTATTTTTTTCAGTGCCCATGTTGGCTAAAATACATCAGAGTTAACATGAAACAGTACATTTCACTATAAAATCATACAATATAAGTGAGGTGTTCCATGTTTCACAGTCACTGTACGGCATTCAGCACTGTGAGAAAAAATATATATACATTAAAACACATTATAGCCAGGAGATTTTTTTTCTTTCCAAACCTCAAAAGCCTGTTTAATTGATAAAAACTAGAGGTATATTTTAACTTTAAGATTGCTTTTATCATGTAAACGACAAATACAGCATGATATATATAGTAGGTAGTCTGGATACCATGGACCAAATTTTCGCCTCATCTAGGGAACCAATCACAGAACGGGGAGGGAGCAGCAAGACGATGACGAAGTCTATGCGACACACCAAAGCACTGAGCAGTTTGTTTATACGTATGGATCCAACATGGCAGAAGACACGAAGTTACCTTTCGATGCAGCCTTACGGCCGTTTCACACATAGGTTTCACACCGCAAGCAGCGGCACTTGAGCAGCGCGTCAGCGTAACTACATCGTCACTGCAGCTGCAGACGCGCAAGAGTATTCACACTGGAAGCGTTTGTACAGTGTCACAGCAGCGGCTCCAAAGCTACATAAGCGAGCCATTCTTTACAAAGACAACTATACATTTGTTTTTAGAAGTTGGTCATTTATAACATTGATAGTCTTGCAAGTTTGTAATCGGGAGGTGCACAACATTCGCATATAAATGTTAAACAACAAAACAACCCAGAAAATGGCTCCAATCTATTAGTTTCAGTCATACTTTCGATATGTTTACAAGACTGCAACTCCGCGGATAAAAAATAAAACACACAAATAAACCACACACTCGGGTTTGATTTGGGTTGTGCTAGCCTGTAGCTGTCTGTGTGTTACATAAACTAAAAGAACGTTTATATATAATATTTTCTGGCTAGTTTACTTTAGTTTTTTTTTATATAATACACAACTTTCACCTAAACTGAATAAATAAAAACAAATTTTACCAGGTAGCCTAAATCTTCTATAAATATTTTTGAGTCTTTATTTTCTTTTATATGCCTACTCAAGTTCTTGTTAAAACTCACTAAACATGCTTATTCTGTGCATTTTGGGCACTTTTTGTGTGAAATCATATTTATTTTTGTCCATCAAAAGAGTGCTTTCACTTTAATTTAGCGTGAGCAGAGCAGTAAAAACAGATTCGACTCCGAAACTGCTGCTCACGCGCTGCTCTTGCTCCCGGTGTGAATGCACTTATTGATTAACATGCATGGCGAAAAAAATACGCGCCGTTCACGCATGATACACGCCATCGTGTACACATAAATCTCTGACCCTTCGTCTTCTTCCTCGTCTAATTTCTGTCGCTCTACACACGTCATCTGGAATAATTGGAACGATTGGCTATGAGCTACGTACAGTCGCATTTGATAGACATGCTTAGCACCCAATAAACGGCTCTGGGCATTCGGAAACCACGCCTCAAATACGAGAAAATGAACATGTGGTTCCCAGACCCAAGTCTCAATGAGATTTGGATCTGACGTTAGCCAGGCTAGTGTCGAAGTAGGCTACAACTGACGTAAAGTTAATAATTCCGCGAATGACTACAATTGCAGATTTCGAACAGAGATGCCGACAAAGAGGAAAAACTGCGTATTGCAGCTTTAAACATTGTTTCTAGTGTGGCAGCACGCTGGAGCTTTCGTGTTATTTAAACGATGCAATTTTATGTATGTGCATTGATCAATGTTGAAAGTATAAAAGTCTTAGTTTGAATGATACACTCACCTGTTGATCTCTTAATGCCCTGTACGTAGTAAGGATGGTCAAGCGACAGATGCTCAGTTTGTTTGTAGCACACAGCCACCTATACCCCTTTTCCACCAACAAGAACCGGGTGCTGGTTCAGAGCCAGAGCCAGAGCTGGTTCGGAGTTGGTTCGACTGACAAGCTTACTAAGAACCGGTTTGCCTTTCCACCGGCTAGAGAGCCACAACAGAGCCAGATCTTACGTCACTGCATACGTCTCATGTTGCCCAGCAACGCTAGTGCGGTAGCGCCAAACACAAACACGCCAGGCTTGTTCGAGATACATCGGCTTCTCGCAGATCGATCCCCGCATGACATCAATGCACTGCGAAAGCGATCCAAAAGCACAAGGAGTCGTATGATCTCCAAACACTCCCGCAGCTCCGATCGGTCCGCGCCGCTCCGATGCATCTCGAACAAGCCATCAACAATAACGGACGTTGCGTTACTATGGATGCTCATGGGTTTGCAAAAATACATCGGAATCCAACGCGTTTGTGCAGCTCGCCTTAACTTACATAGACGGTCACGGATATTATAAGCAAGCTGTTATTAGCTCGACTAGCTGCTATTTAAAAATGGCGGTCACAAGTTTCTATTCGTCTTGTTGGTCACGGTAACCCCGCCCCCAGCCCCTGACGCAAGCGGTTCTTACTTGGCTCTGTTCTAGACCAGCAATGAATTGGTGCTACTTAAGAACCACTTTTCCTGGTTCGGAGCTGGTGCTTTGCGTGTGGAAAAACAAAGAACCAAATTGAAACTAGGCTCTGGCTCCGAACCAGCACCAGCTCTGTCTTGGTGGAAAAGGGGTACTAGCAGTGTACTTCGGAACAGCAGTGTGTCCAGTACCGAAATGAGCAAAATCATGATATCGTAATGACTTCATACTGGACGGCCAAGCAGAGCAGAAACAGCGCAGAAGCAGCACACACCCATCATGCTTTCACACTGGCAACGTTTGTCACACGCAATTGAACTGCGCAAATAGGGACGAGGATCGTCCATTGTAGGGTTGCGCGGTATACCGTTACTGGGAAAATATAGCGTGTGCTGCTCTGCTTTTATTTGATCAAAAATACAGTAAGAACGTGAAATATTATCACACTTTAAAATAAATGTTTTTTCTTTAATATATTTCAATATTTATTTATGTGATTTTACATGTAATATAAGATAATTTAAAGTAATAAAGCACAGACTATAAGCCTTATGAGTTGGCTTTGATGTAGCGGTGAGAAGTTTAGAATAATAATTATAAGGAAATAAAACACATACTCTTATATTTCTTAAGTAAATTAATTTAATTTCATACAGACATGCATAATTAGTGGTCAGACTAGCTCTGGAGCTTGTCAAGAATAGACGCATATCAACACAACGCAGCATATGCTTCCATTGTAGAAGCTGCATTGATTATAGGACAGATTATAATCTGTCGAAATGGTGTTCACATTTTTTTTTGAATTTTATATAACACAACACCTCTGTGAGTGGATACCTTGTGGGTGGTTTCTTTTCCTTTTTTGTTGCATGTCCTTGTAAATAATCAATCCAGGAATAATGATGTCTCTCAAAGTGCTCTGTTTTGAGTTGCACAGCTTCACTTTTCCATTAATCTTTGTATTGTGTCAGTGCCACAGAAGTTTGTCACTCCACACAGCTACATTATAAAAACCCGTTCCTCAGATCAGCCATAACAACTGTGCATTACTTCAGAAGTGGTGTGTTTTATTTTGCTGACCTGCTCAATGTTCTTTTCAAATTTTTAAAAATCAATACATTCACCACACGAAAGCCCATCAGCTTTCCCCCCCCCCTACATTTTATCCATGGCAAAGGCTTCTATTTGGCCGGATGTGTCCATAATGTAAATAATTCAGCACTTATGTAATGGATGCTGGTTCGGTAATTAACCTGCTTTTCTGAAAGACAAAAGGATTCATTTTCAGACAATGTTTGTCACCAAGGGGTCTTTTACTCATAAATGAACAATGAGGTCATTAGAGTGTTTCTTTTTTTTTACATTAAATATATGGCCAAGAGAATGTGGATAAACACACACTTATATGTGCTTTTTGAATGCTTCATTTCAAAATAATTCTCACATACTTTAAGCCATATTCATTTCATACCACTGAAAAAAACAATTGTTGATTTGTATTTCCTAATTTTATAAACGGTTCACCACATATCTGAAAACATCTGACTGTACAGTAGATTATTGCGAGTTTATCGAAACTGACAAACAAACAAAAAGTCATATCTTATCACGTTTGTTCATAAACAAGTGACCTTGTAGTTTAATGGGGGGTGGCTGCCTATTTTTTGTCAGAATGTGAATAGGGAATATTTCTCTGGCTATTTCCATCTGTCCACTAGTTTTATTGTGGCCCACGTTGGTGGTCCACTGGGACTCTTGGAGCTCTGTAATGGGCAATATAACTAAGGGCATTTCACTAAACCCTCACCCCCTGCCTTTACCCTTTATGACACACATGGACACACATACACACCCTCCCCGTTATAGCAGTGTAGTGCTGATGGAAATAAGCCTCTTCTGCCAAATGAACTAAATCTAGAGCACAACTCTAGAGTAAAGGGAATTAAGCTGCCCGTATTTTACAGGCTGTTTCGAAACTTACGTAACAAGTGATTGGGAGTTGCCTTTGATTAGCATGTACTGGAGTGGAATTAATCTTTGCATTTGGAACACTATACAGGACACATTACGCTCTTTTTAGATTGATGCGCTAAACGTTTAGTCCTCGGAACATTTAAAACCACTAATGTGTTTTTATTCAACTTTAGGAAGACTATTACAGTAGGTGATGATGGATCAAAATGTCACTGCTTTATTTTGGGCTGATTG